TGGGTCTCTGTGTCTCTGTGTGGTGATTCTGTGGGTCTCTGTGTGGTGAGTCTTTGGGTCTCTATGTGGTGAGTCTACGGGTCTCTGTGTGGTGAGTCTATGGGTCTCTGTGTGGTGAGTCTGTGGGTCTCTGTGTGGTGAGTCTATGGGTCTCTGTGTGGTGAGTCTGTGGGTCTCTGTGAGGTGAGTCTATGGGTCTCTGTGTGGTGAGTCTGTGGGTCTCTGTGTGGTGAGTCTGTGGGTCTCTGTGAGGTGAGTCTATGGGTCTCTGTGTGGTGAGTCTGTGGGTCTCTGTGTGGTGAGTCTGTGGGTCCCTGTGTGGTGAGTCTGTGGGTCTCTGTGTGGTGAGTCTGTGGGTCTCTGTGTGGTGAGTCTGTGGGTCTCTGTGTGGTGAGTCTGTGGGTCTCTGTGAGGTGAGTCTATGGGTCTCTGTGTGATGAGTCTATGGGTCTCTGTGTGGTGAGTCTGTGGGTCTCTGTGTGGTGAGTCTATGGGTCTCTGTGAGGTGAGTCTGTGAGTCTCTGTGTGGTGAGTCTATGGGTTTCTGTGTGGTGGGTCTATGGGTCTCTGTGTGGTGAGTCTATGGTCTCTGTGTGGTGAGTCTGTGGGTCTTTGTGTGGTGAGTCTGTGGGTCTCTGTGTGGTGAGTCTATGGGCCTCTGTGTGGTGAGTCTGTGGGTCTCTGTGTGGTGAGTCTGTGGGTCTCTGTGTGGTGAGTCTATGGGTCTCTGTGTGGTGAGTCTGTGGGTCTCTGTGTGGTGAGTCTATGGGTCTCTGTGTGGTGAGTCTGTGGGTCTTTGTGTGGTGAGTCTGTGGGTCTCTGTGTCTCTGTGTGGTGATTCTGTGGGTCTCTGTGTGGTGAGTCTTTGGGTCTCTATGTGGTGAGTCTACGGGTCTCTGTGTGGTGAGTCTATGGGTCTCTGTGTGGTGAGTCTGTGGGTCTCTGTGTGGTGAGTCTATGGGTCTCTGTGTGGTGAGTCTGTGGGTCTCTGTGACGTGAGTCTATGGGTCTCTGTGTGGTGAGTCTGTGGGTCTCTGTGTGGTGAGTCTGTGGGTCTCTGTGAGGTGAGTCTATGGGTCTCTGTGTGGTGAGTCTGTGGGTCTCTGTGTGGTGAGTCTGTGGGTCCCTGTGTGGTGAGTCTGTGGGTCTCTGTGTGGTGAGTCTGTGGGTCTCTGTGTGGTGAGTCTGTGGGTCTCTGTGTGGTGAGTCTGTGGGTCTCTGTGAGGTGAGTCTATGGGTCTCTGTGTGATGAGTCTATGGGTCTCTGTGTGGTGAGTCTATGGGTCTCTGTGTGGCGAGTCTGTGTGTCTCTGTGTGGTAAGTCTGTGAGACTCTGTGTAGTGAGTCTATGGGTCTCTGTGTGGTGAGTCTGTGGGTCTCTGTGTGGTGAGTCTGTGGGTCTCTGTGTGGTTAGTCTGTGGGTCTCTGTGAGGTGAGTCTATGGGTCTCTGTGTGGTGAGTCTATAGGTCTCTGTGTGGTGAGTCTGTGGGTCTCTGTGAGGTGAGTCTGTGGGTCTCTGTGTGGTAAGTCTGTGAGTCTCTGTGTAGTGAGTCTATGGGTCTCTGTGTGGTGAGTCTGTGGGTCTCTGTGTGTTGAGTCTGTGGGTCTTTGTGTGGTTAGTCTGTGGGTCTCTGTGAGGTGAGTCTATGGGTCTCTGTGTGGTGAGTCTGTGGGTCTCTGTGTGTTGAGTCTGTGGGTCTTTGTGTGGTTAGTCTGTGGGTCTCTGTGAGGTGAGTCTATGGGTCTCTGTGTGGTGGGTCTATAGGTCTCTGTGTGGTGAGTCTATGGGTCTCTGTGTGGTGAGTCTATAGGTCTCTGTGGTGGATGGTAACGCTGTGGTGAGCAGTGCCATTCGCCTTCACGGCGTTTGTAGCCACAACAGCGGCCAAACGGGGGCTTGAGACAAGTGGGAAATATTCCGCTAAGCTGAATATTCATGACGCCTCCTGGCCAAACCCCAATTAGCGGAGCCAGGAGATTGAATCCCAACCCTCGGGGCTCCTCCAGAAACAGAAAAAAGCCACTTCGTGTGGCCACGTGGAATGTTCGAACGCTCACTGCGGAGGAGAGGCTGCCACTCCTCTGTCGGGAGCTGGACCGGTACCGCCTGGATCTCTGTGGCATTCAGGAGGTCCGGTGGACCGGCTCTGGCTCCTGCCACCATGAGGGGTGGACAGTCCTCTACTCGGGGTAGCAGACTGCCAAACAACAGGGAGTGGCTCTTCTTTTGAACAAAAGATTGAAGGGGGCGTGGGAGCGTGGCGGTGAGGTGTGGGAAGCTGTAAGCCCCAGGCTACTTTGGGCTTGACTTTCCATCAACCGGAGGCGAGGAGTGGTGGTCGTGGGTACTTATGCCCCCAACGAAGATGAACATCCGTGGAGGAGATGCAGGCAAAGCCGATGAGTCAGATGCCTTCTATGACCTCCTGTCACAGGTGCTGGCTAAAGTGGCCTCTCGGGATAGAGTTATCTTGTTGGGTGACTTCAATGCCCGAGCTGGTCATGATGCTGGCACCTGGCCTGGAGTGACTGGAGGGCATGGGCCAGATCAGCTCAATAACAACGGTAGGAGGCTGCTAGATTTTTGTGCAGCCCATGGGCTTGTAATTACCAACACGCTGTTCCGGCATCGGCGCATCCACACAACATCATGGATGCATGCTGGGTCCAAGCAAGAACATCCGCTGGACTACATAGTGACGGACCAGCGGATGCGAGCCCATGTCCTTGACACCAGGACCTACCGTGTAGCTGATCTGCCCTCTGACCATCGACTTGTCATCTGTAAGATGCGTCTGACATTCTTACACTCCGGTGGTGGGTGTACACCCAGGACCCCATTCCAACCTAAAGTGGCCTGGTCTCAGTTATCTGATGAAAGTTGCAAGCGAGAATTTCATCATCGCTTGCGGCTGGGATTGGCATCGTCCCCGACTCCTCCTGATGTCGAGGGTAAATGGGCTAGGTTTAGGACTGTGACTCATGCAGCTGCAATGGCTGATTTGGGTACACGGTCCAGACCTCCCCAGAGACCCTGGCTGACAGATGAGGTGTTCAGGCTGGCTGAGAAATAGCGACAAGCCTACTCTCATCATCTACAGCATCCCACGTCGGAGAATGAGGAGGCTTACTTCAGCCTTCGCTCGGAGGTTCGGAGAGCCGTGAGGCGTTGCAAGGATGGGTGGTAGTCGCGGGTTGCTGTGGAGATGGAGTCTGCCTCAGTGGCCCGCGATCACAAATCCCTATTTTTCTCCATCAAAAAGTAACCTGCAGCACCACACCTATTACCATCATTATTGGAAAGAACGGTGATCCAATCTCCGACCCCCAGGAACAGGTTTGCAGATTTTCTGAGCATTTCCGTGAGGTCTTGGGGGAGGGCAAATCCCTCAGCCAGGAAAACATCATGGCACAAAGTGAGGATGACCCTGCTGAGGCTGCGGTGCCTCAAATATTGGAAGAAGTCACCCCCTATGAGTGGCTGGCTGATGTGCCATCTGTTGAGGAAGTACTGAAGGCGATCCGGAGTCTGAGACCAGGGAAAGCACCGGGCAGAGATGATCTCCCAAGCAAAATGCTGAGGGAGGGTGGCGTTTGTGCACAGACTGCCTTACATGACATCATAACAACAGTCTGGACCACTGGCTGGGTCATGTAGCCCACATGCCCAGGCATCGGATTCCCAAACAGCTTTTGTTCGGCCGGATCGAAGGGGCTAAAAGGGCGCGACACTGGCTAGAGAAGAGATGGATTGACGTGGTACAGGAGAACGTGGAGCTGAGTGGACTTGCCGATGACCTGTACCAGCGGTGTCAAGATCGGCCTCTGTGGAGGAGGCTCGTGAAGGATGCTACTGGGCAGTTGGAGGCAGTCGCCCTCCAACAACAACGGAGGGCGGAGGAGCGACGCTCAGAACAACGAGCGGAGCACCGGGTGGTTAAAGCACAGCAGGTTGGCACAGTAGGGTGCACAGGTGGTGCATCAGCCACTCATCTCAGTCATCTCAGTCGACCCGTGGCACCTGCTGGGTCTCTCCCGTGACCTCCTGCCAACCGGCGTTTGACACTTCACGTGGTAGCCTCAAGGTGCACATGGCCTGGCACAAGCGTCGTGGTGACGTCACCGCCACTTAGCGGCAAATGGCGGTTGTTGTTGTTGTTGTGGTGAGTCCGTGAGTCTCTGAGTCTCCGTTGTTGTTGTGATTCAGGCCGTGACGATGAACCGGACTCTCGCCCCGTGGCTCCGGCTCTTTCGTCTCAGCAACCACCGCAACACAACCACCCCCATGAACCACGTCAACACAACCACCCCCATCAGCCACGTCACCACCACCCCCATCAACTGCGTCACCACCACCCCCATCAACCGCTTCACCACCACCCCCATCAACCACGTCACCACCACCCCCATGAACCACGTCACCACCACCCCCATGAACCACCTCAACACAACCACCCCCATCAACCACGTCACCACCACCCCCATCAACCGCTTCACCACCACCCCCGTCAACCACGTCACCACCACCCCCATCAACCACGTCACCACCACCCCCATCAACCACGTCACCACCACCCCCATCAACCACGTCACCACCACCCCCATCAACCGCTTCACCACCACCCCCGTCAACCACGTCACCACCACCCCCATCAACCACGTCACCCCCATCAACCACGTCACCACCACCCCCATCAACCGCTTCACCACCACCCCCGTCAACCACGTCACCACCACCCCCATCAACCACGTCACCACCACCCCCATCAACCACGTCACCACCACCCCCATCAACCACGTCACCACCACCCCCATCAACCACGTCACCACCACCCCCATCAACCACGTCACCACCACCCCCGTCAACCACGTCACCACCACCCCCGTCAACCACGTCACCACCACCCCCATCAACCACGTCACCACCACCCCCATCAACCACGTCACCACCACCCCCATCAACCACGTCACCACCACCCCCATCAACCACGTCACCACCACCCCCGTCAACCACGTCACCACCACCCCCATGTGGCGTGGGATGGCCGGGGGGGGGGCCGCCCCCCCTCCCGCCGCTCAGCCCAAGCGTCCTGGCAAGGGTCCCCGGACACGGCAGCCCTCCCACATCCCCCCGCCGCCCCCCTCCTCCTCCTCGCCAAGCCGTGGCCGGGTGAGCTTCACTCCCAGCCTCGGCCTTCAGCCCCCTCCGTCGCTTCTCCTTCCTCGCCTCAACCCCTCGCGTCTCCACCACCACCACCTCGCCCCCTCGCCCCCTCGCCTGCTCGCTCGTTCGCTCGTTCGCTCACTCGCCCTCTCGCTCGCCCCCTCGCCTGCTCGCCCGCTCACCCGCTCGCTCGCTCGTTCGCTCGCTCGCCCTCTCGCTCGCTTGCCCGCCCGCTAGCTTGCTCGCTCACCCGCTCGCTCACCCGCTCGCTCGCTCGCCCGCTCGCCCGCTCGCTCACCCGCTCACCCGCTCGCTCACCCGCTAGCTCGCCCTCTTGCTCGCTCGCCCGCTCACCCGCTTGCTCACCCGCTCACCCGCTCACCCGCTCGCTCACCCGCTCGCTCGCCCCTCCTCTCTCTCTACCCCCTCTTTCTCCCTCCTCCATCTAGCTCTCTCTCGCTCTCTCGCCCGCTCGCTCGCTCTCTCTCTCTCGCCACTCAGTCTCTCTTTATATATAACTACGACAAGTGCTGCACCTGCACGCAGCCCCTCCCCGCGGTCAAACGGCCTCCGACGGTCAGCTCGCGACCCGCACCCAGAGCTCCGTCACCGCCACCGCCATCTGTCAGCGGCCATCTGCCAGCGGCCACGTGCGGGGGGGCCTCCTCCGGCTGCCCACTCCGCCCCTGGCAGGCCGGCACGGCGTGGGTCGGCCGCACCGCCGGCGGGGCCGGGGGGGCCGGCCTAGCGGCCGAGGCCTCTCCGGAGAGACGCTGGGGGGCCGGGGGGGGCGGGGGGGGGCGGGGGGGGGCTTTGCCCGCGGGGTTCGTGAGGGTCGCTTCGGAGGGCAGGGCCTCGTCTGCAGGACGCTGCTGGAGAAGGGGGGCGGCCGTCGCGGTGGGAGGCCCTGCAAGTCGCTTCTCTCCCTGCGTCGCTTCACATTCATCATCATCCTCATCATCCTCATCATCCTCATCATCCTCATCATCATCCTCATCATCCTCATCATCATCCTCATCATCATCCTCATCATCATCCTCATCATCATCCTCATCATCATCATCCTCATCATCATCCTCATCATCATCCTCATCATCATCCTCATCATCATCATCCTCATCATCCTCATCATCATCCTCATCATCCTCATCATCATCCTCATCATCATCCTCATCATCATCATCATCCTCATCATCATCATCCTCATCATCATCCTCATCATCCTCATCATCCTCATCCTCATCATCCTCATCATCCTCATCCTCATCATCCTCATCATCATCATCATCCTCATCATCATCATCCTCATCATCATCCTCATCATCATCATCATCCTCATCATCATCATCCTCATCATCATCCTCATCCTCATCATCATCATCCTCATCATCCTCATCATCCTCATCATCATCCTCATCATCATCATCATCCTCATCATCATCATCATCATCCTCATCATCCTCCTCATCATCCTCATCATCCTCATCATCCTCATCATCATCATCATCATCCTCATCATCCTCCTCATCCTCCTCATCATCCTCATCATCCTCGTCCTCATCATCATCATCATCATCCTCATCATCCTCATCATCCTCCTCATCATCCTCATCATCATCATCCTCATCATCATCCTCATCATCATCCTCATCATTCTCATCATCCTCATCATCCTCATCATCATCCTCATCATCCTCATCATCCTCATCATTCTCATCCTCATCATCATCCTCATCATCATCCTCATCATCATCCTCATCATCCTCATCATCCTCATCATCATCCTCATCATCCTCATCATCATCATCATCCTCATCATCCTCATCATCATCATCATCCTCCTCATCATCATCATCCTCATCATCCTCATCATCATCATCCTCATCATCATCATCCTCATCATCATCCTCATCATCCTCCTCATCATCATCATCATCCTCATCATCATCATCATCCTCATCATCATCATCCTCATCATCATCATCCTCATCATCATCCTCATCATCCTCATCATCATCATCATCATCCTCATCATCATCCTCATCATCATCATCCTCATCATCATCCTCATCATCATCATCCTCATCATCATCATCCTCATCATCATCATCATCCTCATCATCCTCATCATCATCCTCATCATCATCATCCTCATCATCATCCTCATCATCCTCATCATCATCCTCATCATCATCATCATCCTCATCATCCTCATCATCCTCATCATCATCATCCTCATCCTCATCATCCTCATCATCATCATCATCCTCATCATCATCCTCATCATCCTCATCATCATCCTCATCATCCTCATCATCCTCATCCTCATCATCCTCATCATCCTCATCATCATCATCCTCATCATCATCCTCATCATCCTCATCATCCTCATCATCCTCATCATCATCATCATCCTCATCATCATCATCCTCATCATCATCCTCATCATCATCATCCTCATCATCATCATCATCCTCATCATCATCCTCATCATCCTCATCATCCTCATCATCATACTCATCATCCTCATCATCATCCTCATCATCATCCTCATCATCCTCATCATCATCCTCATCATCCTCATCATCATCCTCATCATCCTCATCATCATCCTCATCATCATCCTCATCATCCTCATCATCATCCTCATCATCCTCCTCATCCTCATCATCCTCATCATCATCCTCATCCTCATCATCATCATCATCCTCATCATCATCCTCATCATCCTCATCATCATCCTCATCATCCTCATCATCCTCATCCTCATCATCCTCATCATCCTCATCATCATCATCCTCATCATCATCCTCATCATCCTCATCATCCTCATCATCCTCATCATCATCCTCATCATCATCATCCTCATCATCATCCTCATCATCATCATCCTCATCATCATCATCATCCTCATCATCATCCTCATCATCCTCATCATCCTCATCATCATACTCATCATCCTCATCATCATCCTCATCATCATCCTCATCATCATCATCATCCTCATCATCATCATCCTCATCCTCATCATCATCCTCATCATCATCATCCTGCTTGTGCTGCTGCTGCTGTGTGCAGAGTCCTCAATTCCGCTCGTTCTCGCACTCACCCCCAGCCCCCTCTCCAATGAAATCAACTCAGAGCCTCGCGCGTTAAACAATAACAGCAAGCTTCCGTGGGTGGGTGAGTGGGTGGGTGGGTGGGTGAGTGGGTGGGTGAGTGGGTGGGTGGGTGAGTGGGTGGGTGGGTGGGTGAGTGGGTGGGTGAGTGGGTGGGTGAGTGGGTGGGTGGTGAGTGGGTGGGTGAGTGGGTGGGTGGGTAGGTGAGTGGGTGGGTGAGTGGGTGGGTGGTGAGTGAGTAGGTGAGTGAGTGGGTGAGTGAGTGGGTGAGTGAGTAGGTGAGTGAGTGGGTGAGTGAGTGGGTGAGTGAGTGGGTGAGTGAGTGAGTGGGTGAGTGAGTGAGTAGGTGAGTGAGTGAGTGGGTGAGTGAGTGGGTGGGTGGGTGCGTGGGTGGGTTAGTGAGTGGGTGAGTGAGTGGGTGGGTGGGTGAGTGGGTGAGTGAGTGGGTGGTTGGGTGAGTGAGTGAGTAGGTGAGTGAGTGGGTGAGTGAGTGAGTGAGTGGGTGAGTGAGTGGGTGAGTGAGTGAGTGGGTGAGTGAGTGGGTGAGTGAGTGAGTGGGTGAGTGAGTGAGTGAGTAGGTTAGTGAGTGAGTGAGTGGGTGAGTGAGTGGGTGGGTGGGTGAGTGGGTGCGTGGGTGGGTTAGTGAGTGGGTAGGTGGGTGAGTGGGTGAGTGAGTGGGTGAGTGAGTGGGTGGGTGGGTGAGTGGGTGAGTGAGTGGGTGGTTGGGTGAGTGGGTGCGTGGGTGGGTGAGTGAGTGAGTGGGTGAGTGAGTGGGTGGGTGAGTGAGTGAGTGGGTGAGTGAGTGAGTGGGTGAGTGAGTGAGTGGGTGAGTGAGTAGGTGAGTGAGTGAGTGAGTGGGTGAGTGAGTGGGTGAGTGAGTGAGTGGGTGAGTGAGTGGGTGAGTAGGTGAGTGAGTGGTGAGTGGGTGAGTGAGTGAGTGGGTGAGTGACTGAGTGAGTGAGTGAGTGGGTGAGTGACTGAGTGAGTGACTGAGTGAGTGGGTGAGTGACTGAGTGAGTGACTAAGTGAGTAGGTGAGTGAGTGGGTGAGTGACTGAGTGAGTAGGTGAGTGAGTGGGTGAGTGACTGAGTGAGTGACTGAGTGAGTAGGTGAGTGAGTGGGTGAGTGACTGAGTGAGTAGGTGAGTAGGTGGGTGAGTGACTGAGTGAGTGAGTGAGTGGGTGAGTGACTGAGTGAGTGGGTGAGTGACTGAGTGAGTGAGTGGGTGAGTAAGTGAGTGAGTGGGTGAGTGACTGAGTGAGTGGGTGAGTAGGTGAGTGAGTGGGTGAGTAGGTGAGTGAGTGGGTGAGTGACTGAGTGAGTGGGTGAGTAGGTGAGTGAGTGAGTGGTGGGTGAGTGAGTAGGTGAGTGAGTGGGTGAGTGACTGAGTGAGTGGGTGAGTGAGTGGGTGAGTAGGTGAGTGGGTGAGTGAGTGAGTGAGTGGGTGAGTGACTGAGTGAGTGACTGGGTGAGTGACTGAGTGAGTGAGTGAGTGGGTGAGTGACTGAGTGAGTGGGTGAGTGACTGAGTGAGTGGGTGAGTGACTGAGTGAGTGGGTGAGTGACTGAGTGAGTGACTGAGTGAGTGGGTGAGTAGGTGAGTGAGTGGGTGAGTGACTGAGTGAGTGACTGAGTGACTGAGTGAGTGAGTGGGTGAGTGACTGAGTGAGTGGGTGAGTGAGTGAGTGAGTGGGTGAGTAGGTGAGTGACTGAGTGAGTGACTGAGTGAGTGAGTGACTGAGTGGGTGAGTGACTGAGTGAGTGAGTGACTGAGTGAGTGGGTGAGTGACTGAGTGACTGAGTGAGTGACTGAGTGAGTGAATGGGTGAGTGACTGAGTGAGTGAGTGAGTGGGTGAGTAGGTGAGTGAGTGGGTGAGTGAGTGGGTGAGTGACTGAGTGAGTGGGTGAGTGACTGAGTGACTGAGTGAGTGACTGAGTGAGTGAGTGGGTGAGTGAGTGGGTGAGTGAGTGGGTGAGTGGGGGGGTGAGTGAGTGGGTGAGTGGGTGAGTGACTGAGTGACTGACTGAGTGAGTGAGTGAGTGACTGAGTGAGTAGGTGAGTGAGTGGGTGAGTGACTGAGTGAGTGGGTGAGTGACTGAGTGAGTGGGTGAGTGACTGAGTGACTGAGTGAGTGAGTGAGTGGGTGAGTAGGTGAGTGAGTGGGTGAGTGAGTGGGTGAGTGAGTGACTGAGTGAGTGGGTGAGTGACTGAGTGACTGAGTGAGTGACTGAGTGAGTGAGTGGGTGAGTGAGTGGGTGAGTGGGGGGGTGAGTGAGTGGGTGAGTGGGTGAGTGACTGAGTGACTGACTGAGTGAGTGAGTGACTGAGTGAGTAGGTGAGTGAGTGGGTGAGTGACTGAGTGAGTGGGTGAGTGACTGAGTGAGTGGGTGAGTGACTGAGTGAGTGAGTGAGTGACTGAGTGACTGAGTGAGTGGGTGAGTGACTGAGTGAGTGAGTGACTGAGTGGGTGAGTGACTGAGTGAGTGACTGAGTGAGTGAGTGACTGAGTGAGTGACTGAGTGACTGAGTGAGTGTCGTTCCCAGCTGACTCTGCGCTGCACGGCGTTCGCCACGGCTGAGGAGTATCACTTACTCCGGCTGGAGACGGCACTCAGTCGTCGCGCAGATATCACGCTCAGAAGCCTACCTCGAGGTCACGCTCCTCACCACTCACCCACCACTCACCCACCACTCACTCACTCACTCACCCACCCACTCACCCACTCACTCACTCACCCACTCACTCACCCACTCACTCACTCATACACCTACCCACTCATTCACCCACTAACTCACCCACCCACTCACTCACCCACTCACTCAGTCACTCACCCACTCACTCACTCAGTCACTCGCTCACTCACTCACTCACCCACTCACTCACCCACTCACTCACTCAGTCCCTCGCTCACTCACCCACTAACTCACTCACCCACTCACTCACCCACTCACTCACCCACTCACCCACTCACCCACTCACCCATCCACCTACTCACCCACTCACCCACCACCCACTCACTCACTCACTCACCCACCCACTCACCCACTCACTCACTCACCCACTCACTCACTCACCCACCACTCACCCACTCACTCACCCACTCACTCACTCACCCACCACTCACCCACTCACTCACTCACTCACCCACTCACTCACTCACCCACCACTCACTCACCCACTCACTCACTCACTCACCCACTCACTCACTCACCCACTCACTCACTCACCCACTCACTCACCCACTCACCCACCCACTCACTCACCTACTCACTCACCTACTCACTCACTCACTCACCCACCACTCACCCACCACTCACCCACTCACTCACCCACTCACTCACCCACTCACCCACTCACTCACCCACTCACTCACCCACTCACCCACTCACTCACCCACTCACCCACCCACTCACTCACCCACTCACTCACTCACCCACCACTCACCCACTCACTCACCCACTCACTCACCCACTCACCTACCCACTCACTCACCCACTCACCCACTCACTCACCCACTCACCCACCCACCCACTCACCCACTCACTCACCTACTCACTCACTCAACCACTCACCTACCCACTCACTCACCCACTCACCCACTCACTCACCCACTCACTCACCCACTCACTCACCCACTCACTCACTCAACCACTCACCTACCCACTCACTCACCCACTCACCCACTCACTCACCCACTCACCCACCCACTCACTCACCCACTCACTCACCCACTCACTCACCCACTCACCCACCCACTCACCCACCCACTCACTCACCCACTCACTCACCTACTCACTCACTCACTCATCCACCACTCACTCACCCACTCACTCACCCACTCACAACTCACAACGCTGCCCTACAGATGCCGCTAACGCTGTGGTGGTGAGCGTCAAGTCTGCCACTCAGCAGCAGCATCATCAGCAGCCACAGCAGCATCATCAGCATCATCAGCAGCCACAGCAGCATCATCAGCAGCATCATCATCAGCAGCAGCCACAGCAGCAGCAGCTGCAGCAGCCACAGCAGCACCAGCAGCAGCATCATCAGCAGCAGCCACAGCAGCAGCATCATCAGCAGCAGCATCAGCAGCAGCAGCCACAGCAGCAGCAGCATCAGCAGCAGCATCAGCAGCAGCATCAGCAGGAGGAGGAGGAGGAGGGCACAGTTGTCTTCTTCAGGTGTGTGGCCAGGCAGCACCACGTGGTCACGGTGGTGATGGTGATGGTGGTGATGGTGGTGGTGGTGATGGTGGTGGTGGTGATGGTGGTGGTGATGGTGGTGGTGATGGTGGTGGTGATGGTGGTGATGGTGGTGGTGGTGGTGATGGTGGTGGTGATGGTGATGGTGGTGATGGTGGTGGTGGTGATGATGGTGGTGGTGGTTGTGGTGGTGATGGTGGTGGTGGTGGTGATGATGGTGGTGGTGGTGGTGATGGTGGTGATGGTGATGGTGGTGATGGTGGTGGTGATGGTGGTGGTGGTGGTGGTGATGGTGGTGGTGGTGATGATGGTGGTGGTGATGGTGATAATGGTGGCGATGGTGGTGATGGTGGTGGTGATGGTGGTGGTGGTGATGGTGATGATGGTGATTGTGGTGGTGGTGGTGGTGATGGTGGTGGTGGTGGTGGTGATGGTACTGGTGGTGGTGATGGTGCTGGTGGTGGTGATGGTGGTGGTGATGGTGGTGATGGTGCTGGTGGTGGTGATGGTGGTGGTGGTGATGGTGGTGGTGATGGTGGTGATGGTGGTGATGGTGCTGGTGGTGGTGATGGTGGTGATGGTGGTGGTGATGGTGGTGATGGTGATGGTGGTGATGGTGGTGGTGATGGTGGTGGTGGTGGTGATGGTGGTGGTGGTGGTGATGGTGGTGGTGGTGATGATGGTGGTGGTGATGGTGATAATGGTGGCGATGGTGGTGATGGTGATGGTGGTGGTGATGATGGTGATGATGGTGATTGTGGTGGTGGTGATGGTGGTGGTGGTCGTGATGATGGTGGTGGTGATGGTGATAATGGTGGCGATGGTGGTGATGGTGGTGGTGATGGTGGTGGTGGTGATGATGGTGATGGTGGTGATGATGGTGGTGGTGATGGTGGTGGTGGTGATGGTGGTGGTGATGGTGGTGGTGGTGATGATGGTGGAGAGGGTGGTGGTGACGATGGTGATGATGATGATAGTGCTGTGTGTGTGTGCTGTGTGTGTCTGTGTGCTGTGTGTATGCTGTGTGTGTGTGTGCTGTGTGTGTGTAACTGTGTGTGTGTGTGTGCTGTGTGTGTGTAACTGTGTGTGTGCTGTGTGTGTGTAACTGTGTGTGTGCTGTGTGTGCTGTGTGTGTGCTGTGTGTGTGTGCTGTGTGTGTGCTGTGTGTGTGTAACTGTGTGTGTGTGTGCTGTGTGTGTGTAACTGTGTGTGTGCTGTGTGTGTGTGCTGTGTGTGCTGTGTGTATGCTGTGTGCTGTGTGTGTGCTGCGTGTGTGTGCTGCGTGTGTGTGCTGTCTGTGTGTGCTGTGTGTGTGCTGTGTGTGTGTGCTGTGTGTGACTGTGTGTGTGTGTGTGACTGTGTGTGTGTTTGCTATGTGTGTATGCTGTGTGTGTGTGCTGTGTGTGTGCTGTGTGTGTGTAACTGTGTGTGTGTGCTATGTGTGTGTGTAACTGTGTGTGTGTGTGCTGTGTGTGTGTGACTGTGTGTGTGCTGTGTGTGTGTGACTGTGTGTGTGTGTGTGCTGTGTGTGTGTAACTGTGTGTGTGTAACTGTGTGTGCTGTGTGTGACTGTGTGTGTGTGCTGTGTGTGTGTAACTGTGTGTGCTGTGTGTGTATGCTGTGTGCTGTGTGTGTGCTGCTTGTGTGTGCTGTGTTTGCTATGTGTGTATGCTGTGTGTGTGTGCTGTGTGTATGCTGTGTGTGTGTGCTGTGTGTGTGTGTAATTGTGTGTGTGTGTGCTGTGTGTGTGTGACTGTGTGTGTGTTTGCTATGTGTGTATGCTGTGTGTGTGTGCTGTGTGTATGCTGTGTGTGCTGTGTGTGTGTAACTGTGTGTGTGCTATGTGTGTGTGTGTGCTGTGTGTGTTTGCTATGTGTGTGTGCTGTGTGTCTGTGACTGTGTGTGTGCTGTGTGTGTGTAACTGTGTGTGTGTGTGCTGTGTGTGTGCTGCGTGTGTGTGCTGTCTGTGTGTGCTGTGTGTGTGCTGTGTGTGTGTGTGCTGTGTGTGTGCTGTGTGTGTGTAACTGTGTGTGTGTGTGCTGTCTGTGTGTGCTGTGTGTGTGCTGTGTGTGTGTGTGCTGTGTGTGTGTGTGCTGTGTGTGTGTAACTGTGTGTGCTGTGTGTGTATGCTGTGTGCTGTGTGTGTGCTGCTTGTGTGTGCTGTGTTTGCTATGTGTGTATGCTGTGTGTGTGTGCTGTGTGTATGCTGTGTGTGTGTGCTGTGTGTGTGTGTAATTGTGTGTGTGTGTGCTGTGTGTGTGTGACTGTGTGTGTGTTTGCTATGTGTGTATGCTGTGTGTGTGTGCTGTGTGTATGCTGTGTGTGCTGTGTGTGTGTGTGTGTGCTGTGTGTGTGTGACTGTGTGTGTGTATGCTATGTGTGTGTGCTATGTGTGTGTGCTGTGTGTGTATCCTGTGTGTGTGTGCTGTGTGTGTGTGTGCTGTGTGTGTGTGTGCTGTGTGTGTGTGTGACTGTGTGTGTTTGCTATGTGTGTGTGCTATGTGTGTGTGCTGTGTGTGTATCCTGTGTGTGTGTGCTGTGTGTGTGTGTGCTGTGTGTGTGTGTGCTATGTGTGTTTGCTATGTGTATGTGCTGTGTGTGTGTTTGCTATGTGTGTGTGCTGTGTGTGTGTGTGCTGTGTGTGTGCTGTGTGTGTAACTGTGTGTGTGTGCTGTGTGTGCTGTGTGTGTGCTGTGTGTGTGTGCTATGTGTGCTGTGTGTGTGTGTGTGCTATGTGTGTGTTTGCTATGTGTGTGTGTGCTGTGTGTGTGTGCTGTGTGTGTGCTATGTGTGTGTGCTATGTGTGTGTGTGCTATGTGTGTGTGCTGTGTGTGTGTATGCTGTGTGTGTGTGCTGTGTGTGTGTGACTGTGTGTGTGTGTGTGCTATGTGTGTTTGCTATGTGTGTGTGCTATGTGTGTGTGCTATGTGTGTGTGCTATGTGTGTGTAACTGTGTGTGTGTAACTGTGTGTGTGATGTGTGTGTGTAACTGTGTGTGTGCTGTGTGTGTGCTGTGTGTGTGTAACTGTGTGTGTGTGCTGTGTGTGTGCTGTGTGTGTGCTGTGTGTGTGTGTGCTGTGTGTGTGTGCTGTGTGTGTGTGTGCTGTGTGTGACTGTGTGTGTGTGTGTGTGACTGTGTGTGTGTTTGCTATGTGTGTATGCTGTGTGTGTGCTGTGTGTGTGCTGTGTGTGTGTTTGCTATGTGTGTATGCTGTGTGTGTGTGCTGTGTGTATGCTGTGTGTGTGTGCTGTGTGTGTGTGTAATTGTGTGTGTGTGTGCTGTGTGTGTGTGACTGTGTGTGTGTTTGCTATGTGTGTATGCTGTGTGTGTGTGCTGTGTGTATGCTGTGTGTGCTGTGTGTGTAACTGTGTGTGTGTGCTGTGTGTGTGTGACTGTGTGTGTTTGCTATGTGTGTGTGCTATGTGTGTGTGCTGTGTGTGCTGTGTGTTTGCTATGTGTGTGTGCTGTGTGTGTGTGCTGTGTGTGTGTGACTGTGTGTGTGTGCTCTGTGTGTGTGTAACTGTGTGTGTGTGTGCTGTGTGTGTGTGCTGTGTGTGTGTGTTTGCTATGTGTGTGTGCTGTGTGTGTGTGCTGTGTGTGTGACTGTGTGTGTGTAACTGTGTGTGTGACTGTGTGTGTGTGTGCTATGTGTGTGTGCTATGTGTGTGTGTGCTATGTGTGTGTGTGCTATGTGTGTGTGCTATGTGTGTTTGCTAAGTGTGTGTGCTGTGTGTGTGTGCTATGTGTGTGTGCTATGTGTGTGTGCTGTGTGTGTGTGCTGTGTGTGCTGTGTGCAGGGAGGGAGCTGTCGTCTTCTGGAATGTCGACGCCCCAACGGTGAGCAGCTGTAGCAGATTACAGCTGTGTGTAGCTGTGTGTGTAGTGCTGTGTGTAGCTGTGTGTGTAGCTGTGTGTAGCTGTAGCAGATTACAGCTGTGTGTAGCTGTGTGTAGTGCTGTGTGTAGCTGTGTGTGTAGCTGTGTGTAGCTGTAGCAGATTACAGCTGTGTGTAGCTGTGTGTAGTGCTGTGTGTAGCTGTGTGTGTAGCTGTGTGTAGCTGTAGCAGATTACAGCTGTGTATAGCTGTGTGTAGCTGTAGCAGATTACAGCTGTGTGTAGCTGTGTGTAGCTGTGTGTAGCTGTGTGTAGCTGTAGCAGATTACAGCTGTGTATAGCTGTGTGTAGCTGTAGCAGATTACAGCTGTGTGTAGCTGTGTGTAGCTGTGTGTAGCTGTGTGTAGTGCTGTGTGTAGCTGTGTGTAGCTGTAGCAGATTACAGCTGTGTGTAGCTGTAGCAGATTACAGCTGTGTGTAGCTGTGTGTAGTGCTGTGTGTAGTGCTGTGTGTAGCTGTGTGTAGCTGTGTGCAGTGCTGTGTGTAGCTGTGTGTAGCTGTGTGTGTAGTGCTGTGTGTAGCTGTGTGTAGTGCTGTGTGTAGCTGTGTGTAGCTGTGTGTAGTGCTGTGTGTAGCTGTGTGTGTAGCTGTGTGTAGCTGTGTGTAGTGCTGTGTGTAGCTGTGTGTGTAGCTGTGTGTAGCTGTGTGTAGTGCTGTGTGTAGCTGTGTGTGTAGCTGTGTGTGTAGCTGTGTGTGTGTAGCTGTGTGTAGCTGTGTGTGTAGCTGTGTGTAGTGCTGTGTGTAGCTGTGTGTAGCTGTGTAGTAGCTGTGTGTAGCTGTGTGTAGCTGTGTAGTAGCTGTGTGTAGCTGTGTAGTAGCTGTGTGTAGCTGTGTGTAGCTGTGTAGCTGTGTGTAGGGCTGTGTGTAGCTGTGTGTGTAGCTGTGTGTAGTGCTGTGTGTAGCTGTGTGTAGCTGTGTGTGTAGCTGTGTGTAGCTGTAGCAGATTACAGCTGTGTGTAGCTGTGTGTGTAGCTGTGTTTAGCTGTGTGTAGCGCTGTGTGTAGTGCTGTGTGTAGCTGTGTGTAGCTGTGTGTAGCTGTGTGAAGCTGTGTGTAGCTGTGTGTAGTGCTGTGTGTAGCTGTAGCAGATTACAGCTGTGTGTAGCTGTGTGTAGCTGTAGCAGATTACAGCTGTGTGTAGCTGTGTGTAGCTGTGTGTAGCTGTGTGTAGCTGTAGCAGATTACAGCTGTGTGTAGCTGTGTGTAGCTGTGTGTAGCTGTGTGTAGTGCTGTGTGTGTAGCTGTGTGTAGCTGTGTGTAGCTGTGTGTAGTGCTGTGTGTAGCGCTGTGTGTAGCTGTGTGTAGCTGTGTGTAGTGCTGTGTGTAGCTGTGTGTGTAGCTGTGTGTAGTGCTGTGTGTAGCTGTGTGTGTAGCTGTGTGTAGCTGTGTGTAGTGCTGTGTGTAGCTGTGTGTGTAGCTGTGTGTGTGTAGCTGTGTGTAGCTGTGTGTGTAGCTGTGTGTAGAGCTGTGTGTAGCTGTGTGTAGCTGTGTAGTAGCTGTGTGTAGCTGTGTGTAGCTGTGTAGTAGCTGTGTGTAGCTGTGTAGTAGCTGTGTGTAGCTGTGTGTAGCTGTGTGTAGTGCTGTGTGTAGCTGTGTGTGTAGCTGTGTGTAGCTGTAGCAGATTACAGCTGTGTGTAGCTGTGTGTGTAGCTGTGTGTAGCTGTGTGTAGCGCTGTGTGTAGTGCTGTGTGTAGCTGTGTGTAGCTGTGTGTAGCTGTGTGTGTAGCTGTGTGTAGCTGTGTGTGTAGCTGTGTGTAGCTGTGTGTAGCTGTGTGTAGTGCTGTGTGTAGCTGTGTGTGTAGCTGTGTGTAGTGCTGTGTGTAGCTGTGTGTAGCTGTGTGTAGTGCTGTGTGTAGCTGTGTGTGTAGCTGTGTGTAGCTGTGTGTAGCTGTAGCAGATTACAGCTGTGTGTAGCTGTGTGTGTAGCTGTGTGTAGCTGTGTGTAGCGCTGTGTGTGTAGCTGTGTGTAGCTGTGTGTAGCTGTGTGTAGTGCTGTGTGTGTAGCTGTGTGTAGCTGTGTGTAGTGCTGTGTGTAGCTGTGTGTGTAGCTGTGTGTAGCTGTGTGTAGTGTTGTGTGTGTAGCTGTGTGTAGCTGTGTGTAGCTGTGTGTAGCTGTGTGTGTAGCTGTGTGTAGTGCTGTGTGTGTGTAGCTGTGTGTAGCTGTGTGTAGTGTTGTGTGTGTAGCTGTGTGTAGTGTTGTGTGTGTAGCTGTGTGTAGCTGTGTGTAGTGCTGTGTGTGTAGCTGTGTGTAGCTGTGTGTAGCTGTGTGTGTAGCTGTGTGTAGCGGTGTGTGTGTGTAGCTGTGTGTAGCTGTGTGTGTAGTGTTGTGTGTAGCTGTGTGTAGTGTTGTGTGTGTAGCTGTGTGTAGCTGTGTGTAGCTGTGTGTAGTGTTGTGTGTAGCTGTGTGTAGTGCTGTGTGTAGCTGTGTGTAGCTGTGTGTAGCTGTGTGTGTAGCTGTGTGGTGCTGTGTGTGTAGCTGTGTGTAGCTGTGTGTGTGTGTAGCTGTGTGTAGTGCTGTGTGTGTAGCTGTGTGTGTAGCTGTGTGTAGCGCTGTAGTGCTGTGTGTAGCTGTGTGTAGTGCTGTGTGTAGCTGTGTGTGTAGCTGTGTGTAGCTGTGTGTAGTGCTGTGTGTAGCTGTGTGTGTAGCTGTGTGTGTAGCTGTGTGTGTGTAGCTGTGTGTAGCTGTGTGTGTAGCTGTGTGTAGTGCTGTGTGTAGCTGTGTGTAGCTGTGTAGTAGCTGTGTGTAGCTGTGTGTAACTGTGTAGTAGCTGTGTGTAGCTGTGTAGTAGCTGTGTGTAGCTGTGTGTAGCTGTGTAGCTGTGTGTAGGGCTGTGTGTAGCTGTGTGTGTAGCTGTGTGTAGTGCTGTGTGTAGCTGTGTGTAGCTGTGTGTGTAGCTGTGTGTAGCTGTAGCAGATTACAGCTGTGTGTAGCTGTGTGTGTAGCTGTGTGTAGCTGTGTGTAGCGCTGTGTGTAGTGCTGTGTGTAGCTGTGTGTAGCTGTGTGTAGCTGTGTGAAGCTGTGTGTAGCTGTGTGTAGTGCTGTGTGTAGCTGTAGCAGATTACAGCTGTGTGTAGCTGTGTGTATCTGTAGCAGATTACAGCTGTGTGTAGCTGTGTGTAGCTGTGTGTAGCTGTGTGTAGCTGTAGCAGATTACAGCTGTGTGTAGCTGTGTGTAGCTGTGTGTAGCTGTGTGTAGTGCTGTGTGTGTAGCTGTGTGTAGCTGTGTGTAGCTGTGTGTAGTGCTGTGTGTAGCGCTGTGTGTAGCTGTGTGTAGCTGTGTGTAGTGCTGTGTGTAGCTGTGTGTGTAGCTGTGTGTAGTGCTGTGTGTAGCTGTGTGTGTAGCTGTGTGTAGCTGTGTGTAGTGCTGTGTGTAGCTGTGTGTGTAGCTGTGTGTGTGTAGCTGTGTGTAGCTGTGTGTGTAGCTGTGTGTAGTGCTGTGTGTAGCTGTGTGTAGCTGTGTAGTAGCTGTGTGTAGCTGTGTGTAGCTGTGTAGTAGCTGTGTGTAGCTGTGTAGTAGCTGTGTGTAGCTGTGTGTAGCTGTGTGTAGTGCTGTGTGTAGCTGTGTGTGTAGCTGTGTGTAGCTGTGTGTAGCTGTAGCAGATTACAGCTGTGTGTAGCTGTGTGTGTAGCTGTGTGTAGCTGTGTGTAGCGCTGTGTGTAGTGCTGTGTGTAGCTGTGTGTAGCTGTGTGTGTAGCTGTGTGTAGCTGTGTGTGTAGCTGTGTGTAGCTGTGTGTAGCTGTGTGTAGTGCTGTGTGTAGCTGTGTGTGTAGCTGTGTGTAGTGCTGTGTGTAGCTGTGTGTAGTGCTGTGTGTAGCTGTGTGTGTAGCTGTGTGTAGCTGTGTGTAGCTGTAGCAGATTACAGCTGTGTGTAGCTGTGTGTGTAGCTGTGTGTAGCTGTGTGTAGCGCTGTGTGTGTAGCTGTGTGTAGCTGTGTGTAGCTGTGTGTAGTGCTGTGTGTGTAGCTGTGTGTAGCTGTGTGTAGTGCTGTGTGTAGCTGTGTGTGTAGCTGTGTGTAGCTGTGTGTAGTGTTGTGTGTGTAGCTGTGTGTAGCTGTGTGTAGCTGTGTGTGTAGCTGTGTGTAGTGCTGTGTGTGTGTAGCTGTGTGTAGCTGTGTGTAGTGTTGTGTGTGTAGCTGTGTGAAGCTGTGTGTGTAGCTGTGTGTAGCTGTGTGTAGTGCTGTGTGTGTAGCTGTGTGTAGCTGTGTGTAGCTGTGTGTGTAGCTGTGTGTAGCAGTGTGTGTGTGTAGCTGTGTGTAGCTGTGTGTGTAGTGTTGTGTGTAGCTGTGTGTAGTGTTGTGTGTGTAGCTGTGTGTAGCTGTGTGTAGCTGTGTGTAGTGTTGTGTGTAGCTGTGTGTAGTGCTGTGTGTAGCTGTGTGTAGCTGTGTGTAGCTGTGTGTGTAGCTGTGTGGTGCTGTGTGTGTAGCTGTGTGTAGCTGTGTGTGTGTGTAGCTGTGTGTAGTGCTGTGTGTGTAGCTGTGTGTGTAGCTGTGTGTAGCGCTGTGTGTAGTGCTGTGTGTAGCTGTGTGTAGTGCTGTGTGTAGCTGTGTGTGTAGCTGTGTGTAGCTGTGTGTGTAGCTGTGTGTAGCTGTGTGTAGCTGTGTGTGTAGCTGTGTGTGTAGCTGTGTGTAGTGCTGTGTGTAGCTGTGTGTAGCTGTGTGTAGCTGTGTGTAGTGTTGTGTGTAGCGGTGTGTGTGTGTAGCAGTGTGTAGCTGTGTGTAGTGCTGTGTGTAGCTGTGTGTAGTGTTGTGTGTGTAGCTGTGTGTAGCTGTGTGTGTAGCTGTGTGTAGCTGTGTGTGTAGCTGTGTGTAGCTGTGTGTGTAGCTGTGTGTAGCTGTGTGGTGCTGTGTGTGTAGCTGTGTGTAGCTGTGTGTGTAGCTGTGTGTAGCTGTGTGTGTGTGTAGCTGTGTGTAGTGCTGTGTGTGTAGCTGTGTGTGTAGCTGTGTGTAGCTGTGTGTAGTGCTGTGTGTAGCTGTGTGTAGCTGTGTGTAGTGTTGTGTGTAGCGGTGTGTGTGTGTAGCTGTGTGTAGCTGTGTGTAGCTGTGTGTAGCTGTGTGTAGCTGTGTGTAGCTGTGTGTGTAGCTGTGTGTGTAGCTGTGTGTAGCTGTGTGTAGCTGTGTGTGTAGCTGTGTGTAGCTGTGTGTGTAGCTGTGTGTAGCTGTGTGTAGCTGTGTGTGTAGCTGTGTGTAGCTGTGTGTAGCTGTGTGTGTAGTTGTGTGTAGCTGTGTGTAGTGCTGTGTGTAGCTGTGTGTGTAGCTGTGTGTAGCTGTGTGTAGCTGAGTGTAGCTGAGTTGTTGTGTGGCTGTGTAGATGCGGAGTTTGATGGTGCTGTGTGTAGCTGTGTGTAGCGCTGTGTGTGTAGCTGTGTGTAGCTGTGTGTAGCTGTGTGTGTAGCTGTGTGTGTAGCTGTGTGTGTAGCTGAGTGTGTAGCTGTGTGTGTAGCTGTGTGTAGCTGTGTGTGTAGCTGTGTGTGTAGCTGTGTGTAGCTGTGTGTAGCTGTGTGTGTAGCTGTGTGTAGCTGTGTGTGTAGCTGTGTGTAGTGCTGTGTGTAGCTGTGTGTGTAGCTGTGTGTAGCTGTGTGTAGCTGTGTGTGTAGTTGTGTGTAGCTGTGTGTAGTGCTGTGTGTAGCTGTGTGTGTAGCTGTGTGTAGCTGTGTGTAGCTGAGTGTAGCTGAGTTGTTGTGTGGCTGTGTAGATGCGGAGTTTGATGGTGCTGTGTGTAGCTGTGTGTAGCGCTGTGTGTGTAGCTGTGTGTAGCTGTGTGTAGCTGTGTGTGTAGCTGTGTGTGTAGCTGTGTGTGTAGCTGAGTGTGTAGCTGAGTGTGTAGCTGTGTGTAGCTGAGTTGTTGTGTGGCTGTGTAGATGCGGAGTTTGATGGTGCTGTGTGTAGCTGTGTGTAGCGCTGTGTGTGTAGCTGTGTGTAGCTGTGTGTAGCTGTGTGTGTAGCTGTGTGTGTAGCTGTGTGTGTAGCTGAGTGTGTAGCTGACTGTGTAGCTGTGTGTAGCTGAGTTGTTGTGTGGCTGTGTAGATGCGGAGTTTGATGGCGCTGTTGGAGGCTTACGAGCGGAGCCCCTACGAAGTGGCGCTGGTACATTGGGAAAACGAGCAGCTGGAGTACAGCTACACTGGGTGAGTTAGTGGGTGAGTTAGTTAGTGGGTGAGTTAGTTAGTGGGTGAGTTAGTGGGTGAGTTAGTGGATGAGTTAGTTAGTGGGTGAGTTAGTGGGTGAGTTAGTTAGTGGGTGAGTTAGTGGGTGAGTGAGTTAGTGGGTTAGTTAGTGGGTGAGTTAGTTAGTGGGTGAGTTAGTGGGTGAGTTAGTGGGTGAGTTAGTGGGTGAGTTAGTTAGTGGGTGAGTTAGCGGGTGAGTTAGCGGGTGAGTTAGTGGGTGAGTGGGTGAGTTAGTGGGTGAGTTAGTGGGTGAGTTAGTGGGTGAGTAAGTGGGTGAGTTAGTGAGTGAGTTAGTGGGTGAGTTAGTTAGTGGGTGAGTTAGTGGGTGAGTTAGTTAGTGGGTGAGTTAGTGGGTGAGTTAGCGGGTGAGTTAGCGGGTGAGTTAGTGGGTGAGTTAGTGGGTGAGTTAGTGGGTGAGTTAGTTAGTGGGTGAGTTAGTGGGTGAGTTAGCGGGTGAGTTAGTGGGTGAGTGGGTGAGTTAGTGGGTGAGTTAGTTAGTGGGTGAGTTAGTGGGTGAGTTAGTGGGTGAGTTGGTGGGTGAGTTAGTGGGTGAGTGGGTGAGTGAGTTAGTGGGTGAGTTAGTGGGTGAGTTAGTGGGTGAGTTAGTGGGTGAGTTAGTTAGTGGGTGAGTTAGTGGGTGAGTTAGTGGGTGAGTTGGTGGGTGAGTGGGTGAGTGAGTGGGTAAGTGATTGGGTGAGTTAGTGGGTGGGTGAATTAGTCGGTGAGTTAGTGGGTGAGTTAGTGTGTGAGTGGGTGAGTTAGTCGGTGAGTTAGTGGGTGAGTTAGTTAGTGGGTGAGTTAGTGGGTGAGTGAGTTAGTGGGTGAGTTAGTTAGTGGGTGAGTTAGTTAGTGGGTGAGTTAGTGGGTGAGTTAGTGGGTGAGTGGGTGAGTTAGTGGGTGAGTTAGTGGGTGAGTGGGTGAGTTAGTGGGTGAGTTAGTGGGTGAGTTAGTGGGTGAGTTAGTGGGTGAGTGTGCAGGTGAGTGCATGAGTTAGTGGGTGAGTGTGCGGGTGAGTTAGTGGGTGAGTTAGTGGGTGAGTGTGCGGGTGAGTTAGTGGGTGAGTGGGTGAGTTAGTGGGTGAGTGAGTTAGTGGGTGAGTTAGTGGGTGAGTTAGCGGGTGAGTTAGTTAGTGGGTGAGTTAGTGGGTGAGTTAGCGGGTGAGTTAGTGGGTGAGTTGGTGGGTGAGTTGGTGGGTGAGTGGGTGGGTGAGTTGGTGGGTGAGTGGGTGAGTTAGTGGGTAAGTTAGTGGGTGAGTTAGTGGGTGAGTTAGCGGGTGAGTTAGTGGGTGAGTGGGTGAGTTAGTGGGTGAGTGGGTGAGATAGTGGGTGAGTTAGTGGGTGAGTTAGTGGGTGAGTTAGTGGGTGAGTTAGTGGGTGAGTTAGCGGGTGAGTTAGTGGGTGAGTGGGTGAGTTAGTGGGTGAGTTAGTGGGTGAGTTAGCGGGTGAGTTAGTGGGTGAGTGGGTGAGTTAGTGGGTGAGTGAGTTAGTGGGTGAGTTAGTGGGTGAGTTAGCGGGTGAGTTAGTTAGTGGGTGAGTTAGTGGGTGAGTTAGCGGGTGAGTTAGTGGGTGAGTGAGTTAGTGGGTGAGTTAGTGGGTGAGTTAGCGGGTGAGTTAGTTAGTGGGTGAGTTAGTGGGTGAGTTAGCGGGTGAGTTAGTGGGTGAGTTAGTGGGTGAGTTGGTGGGTGAGTTGGTGGGTGAGTGGGTGGGTGAGTTGGTGGGTGAGTGGGTGAGTTAGTGGGTAAGTTAGTGGGTGAGTTAGTGGGTGAGTTAGCGGGTGAGTTAGTGGGTGAGTGGGTGAGTTAGTGGGTGAGTTAGTGGGTGAGTTAGTGGGTGAGTTAGTGAGTGAGTGAGTTCGTGGGTGAGTGGGTGAGTGAGTGGGTGAATGAGTGGGTGGGTGAGTGGGTGAGTTAGTGGGTGAGTTAGTGGGTGAGTTGGTGGGTGAGTTGGTGGGTGAGTGGGTGGGTGAGTTGGTGGGTGAGTGGGTGAGTTAGTGGGTAAGTTAGTGGGTGAGTTAGTGGGTGAGTTAGCGGGTGAGTTAGTGGGTGAGTGGGTGAGTTAGTGGGTGAGTTAGTGGGTGAGTTAGTGGGTGAGTTAGTGCGTGAGTTAGTGGGTGAGTTAGTGAGTGAGTGAGTTCGTGGGTGAGTGGGTGAGTGAGTGGGTGAGTGAGTGGGTGAGTGAGTGGGTGAGTTATTGGGTGGGTGAGTGAGTGCCTGGGTGAGTGAGTGAGTGAGTGGGTGAGGAGTGGTGAGGAGTGGTGGTGAGGAGTGGTGAGGAGTGGTGAGTGAGTGGTGAGGTGTCTGAGTGTGCTGCAGAGGTCCCAGCCGACTGCACCGAGGAGAGATTCTGCTGGGGGTCAAGGGTCACGGTGAGGCCGCGCTCCTCACCAAATTCGCTTTCTCCAACGCTCTCAGCCTGTCGGGTGAGTAGCACTCACCACTCACTCACCACTCACTCACCACTCACTCACCACTCACCACTCACTCACCACTCACTCACCACTCACTCACTCACCACTCACCACTCACTCACCACTCACTCACCACTCACTCACCAATCACTCACTCACCACTCACTCACTACTCACTCACCACTCACTCACCACTCACTCACTCACCACTCACTCACCACTCACTCACCACTCACTCACCACTCACTCACTCACTCACCACTCACTCACCACTCACTCACCACTCACTCACCACTCACCACTCACTCACCACTCACTCACCACTCACTCACCACTCACTCACTCACCACTCACTCACCACTCACTCACCACTCACTCACCACTCACTCACCACTCACTCACTCACCACTCACTCACCACTCACTCACCACTCACTCACTCACCACTCACCACTCACTCACCACTCACTCACCACTCACTCACCACTCACCACTCACTCACTCACTCACCACTCACTCACCACTCACTCACTCACCACTCACCACTCACTCACTCACTCACCACTCACTCACCACTCACTCACTCACCACTCACTCACCACTCACTCACTCACCACTCACTCACCACTCACTCACTCACCACTCACTCACCACTCACTCACCACTCACTCACTCACCACTCACTCACCACTCACTCACTCACCACTCACTCACCACTCACTCACTCACCACTCACTCACCACTCACTCACCACTCACTCACCACTCACTCACTCACCACTCACTCACTCACCACTCACTCACCACTCACTCACTCACCACTCACTCACCACTCACTCACCACTCACCACTCACTCACCACTCACTCACTCACCACACTCACCAATCACTCACCACTCACTCCTTCACCACTCACTCACCACTCACTCACCACTCACTCACTCACTCACCACACTCACCAAACACTCACCACTCACTCACCACTCACTCACCACTCACTCACTCACCACACTCACCAATCACTCACCACTCACTCACCACTCACTCACCACTCACTCACTCACTCACCACTCACTCACCACTCACTCACCACTCACTCACTCACCACTCACTCACCACTCACTCACCACTCACTCACCACTCACTCACCACTCACTCACTCACCACTCACTCACCACTCACTCACCACTCACTCACCACTCACTCACTCACCACTCACCACTCACTCACCACTCACTCACCACTCACTCACCACTCACCACTCACTCACTCACTCACCACTCACTCACCACTCACTCACTCACCACTCACCACTCACTCACTCACTCACCACTCACTCACCACTCACTCACTCACCACTCACTCACCACTCACTCACTCACCACTCACTCACCACTCACTCACTCACCACTCACTCACCACTCACTCACCACTCACTCACTCACCACTCACTCACCACTCACTCACTCACCACTCACTCACCACTCACTCACTCACCACTCACTCACCACTCACTCACCACTCACTCACCACTCACTCACTCACCACTCACTCACTCACCACTCACTCACCACTCACTCACTCACCACTCACTCACCACTCACTCACCACTCACCACTCACTCACCACTCACTCACTCACCACACTCACCAATCACTCACCACTCACTCCTTCACCACTCACTCACCACTCACTCACCACTCACTCACTCACTCACCACACTCACCAAACACTCACCACTCACTCACCACTCACTCACCACTCACTCACTCACCACACTCACCAATCACTCACCACTCACTCACCACTCACTCACCACTCACTCACTCACTCACCACTCACTCACCACTCACTCACCACTCACTCACCACACTCACCACTCACTCACCACTCACCACTCACTCACCACTCACTCACCACTCACTCACTCACCACTCACTCACCACTCACTCACTCACTCACCACTCACTCACCACTCACTCACTCACCACTCACTCACTCACCACTCACTCACCACACTCACCACTCACTCACCACTCACTCACCACTCACTCACTCACCACTCACTCACTCACCACTCACTCACCACTCACTCACCACTCACTCACTCACCACACTCACCACTCACTCACCACTCACTCACCACTCACTCACTCACTCACCACTCACTCACCACTCACTCACTAACCACTCACTCACCACTCACTCACTCACTCACCACTCACTCACCACTCACTCACTCACCACTCACTCACCACTCACTCACTCACCACTCACTCACCACTCACTCACCACTCACTCACTCACTCACCACTCACTCACCACTCACTCACTACTCACTCACCACTCACCACTCACTCACTCACCACTCACTCACCACTCACTCACCACTCACCACTCACTCACCACTCACTCACCACTCACTCACTCACCACTCACTCACTCACTCACCACTCACTCACCACTCACTCACTACACCACTCACTCACTCACCACTCACTCACTCACCACTCACTCACCACTCACTCACCACTCACTCACTACACCACTCACTCACTCACCACTCACTCACTCACTCACCACTCACCACTCACTCACCACTCACTCACCACTCACTCACTCACCACTCACTCACCACTCACTCACCACTCACTCACCACTCACACTCACTCACCACTCACTCACCACTCACTCACTCACTCACCACTCACTCACCACTCACTCACCACTCACTCACTCACCACTCACTCACCACTCACTCACCACTCACATTCACTCACCACTCACTCACCACTCACTCACCACTCACACTCACCACTCACACTCACCACTCACTCACCACTCACTCACCACTCACTCACCACTCACACTCACCACTCACTCACCACTCACTCACCACACTCACTCACCACTCACTCACCACTCACTCACCACTCACACTCACTACTCACACTCACCACTCACTCACCACACTCACTCACCACTCACTCACCACTCACTCACCACTCACTCACTCACCACTCACTCACCACTCACTCACCACTCACCACTCACTCACCACTCACTCACCACTCACCACTCACTCACCAATCACTCACCACTCACCACTCACTCACCCACACACACACTCACTCACCCACACACTCACCACACACTCACCACCACTCACCACACACTCACCACTCACCACACACTCACCACACACTCACTCACCACACACTCACCACCACTCACCACCACTCACTCACCACACACTCACCCACACGCTCACCCACTCACTCACTCACCACACACTCACCACACACTCAACACCACTCACCACCACTCACCCACACGCTCACCCACTCACTCACTCACCCACACACTCACCCACTCACTCACCACACACTCACCTACTCGCACACTCACCCACACACTCACCACCACTCACCACCACTTACCACACACTCACCACACACTCACCACCACTCACCACTTACTCACCACCACTCACCACCACTCACCACTCATTCACTCACTCACCACCACTCACCACACACTCACCACACACTCACCACACACTCACTCACCACACATTCACCACCACTCACCACCACCACTCACCACCACTCACCCACACACTCACTCACCCACTCACTCACTCACCACACACTCACCACACACTCACCACACACTCACCCACACGCTCACCCACTCACTCACTCACTCACCCACACACTCACCCACTCACTCACCACACACTCACCTACTCACTCACTCACCCACACACTCACCCACACACTCGCACACTCACCCACACACTCACCACCACTCACCACACACTCACCACACACTCACCACCACTCACCACTCACTCACCACTCACTCACCACACACTCACCACACACTCACCACCACTCACCACACACACACTCACTCACCACCACTCACTCATCACTCACCACCACTCACCCCACACTCACCACTCACACACTCACCACTCACCACCACTCACCACCACCACTCACCACACACACTCACCACTCACCACCACCACTCACCACCACCACTCACCACCACTCACCACCCTTGTGCTGTGTGACAGTGAAATTGGCCATCTGGGAGGAGTCTTTGGACGGATTCGTTGAGAGCATCCAGTCAATCCCAGAGGTACCACCACTACTACCACTACCATCACTACCATCACTACCACTACTACTACCACTACTACCACTACCACCACTACTACCACTACTACCATCCAGTCAATCCCAGAGGTACCACCACTACCACCACTACCACCACTACTACCACTACCATCACTACCACCACTACTACCACTACTACCACCATCCAGTCAATCCCAGAGGTACCACCACTACCACTACTACCATCAATACCATCACTACTACCACCACTACCATCACTACCATCACTACTACCACCATCCAGTCAATTCCAGAGGTACCACCACTACCACTACTACCATCACTACCACTACTACCATCACTACCACTACTACCACTACCACTACTACCATCACTACTACCACCATCCAGTCAATCCCAGAGGTACCACCACTACCATCACTACTACCATCACTACTACCACTACTACCACCATCCAGTCAATCCCAGAGGTACCACCACTACCACTACTACCACTACCACCACTACTACCACTACTACCACCATCCAGTCAATCCCAGAGGTACCACCACTACCATCACTACTACCACTACCACTACTACCATCACTACCACCACTACTACCACTACTACCATCCAGTCAATCCCAGAGGTACCACTACTACCACCACTACTACCACTACTACCACTACCACCACTACTACCACTACTACCACCATCCAGTCAATCCCAGAGGTACCACCACTACCACTACTACCATCACTACTACCACTACTACCACTACCACTACTACCACCACTACTACTACTACTACCACCATCCAGTCAATCCCAGAGGTACCACCACTACCACTACTACTATCACTACTACCACTACTACCACTACCACTACTACCACCACTACTACTACTACTACCACCATCCAGTCAATCCCAGAGGTACCATCACTACCACTACTACCACTACCACCACTACTACCACTACTACCATCCAGTCAATCCCAGAGGTACCACCACTACCATCACTACTACCACTACTACCACTACCACCACTATCACTACTACCATCACTACCACTACTACCACTACCACCACTACCATCACTACCACTACTACCACCACTACCACTACTACCATCACTACTACCACTACTACCACTACTACCACTACCACCACTACCATCACTACCACTACTACCACTACAACCACTACTACCACTACTACCACCATCCAGTAAATCCCAGAGGTACCATCACTACCATCACTACCACTACCACCACTACCACCACTACTACCACTACTACCACCATCCAGTCAATCCCAGAGGTACCACCACTACCACTACTACATCACTACTACCACTACTACCACTACCACCACTACCACCACTACTACCACTACTACCACCATCCAGTCAATCCCAGAGGTACCACCACTACTACCACTACCACCACTACCACCACTACTACCACTACTACCACCATCCAGTCAATCCCAGAGGTACCACCACTACCACTACTACCATCACTACTACCACCATCCAGTCAATCCCAGAGGTACCACCACTACTACCACTACCACCACTACCACCACTACTACCACTACTACCACCATCCAGTCAATCCCAGAGGTACCACCACTACCACTACTACATCACTACTACCACTACTACCACTACCACCACTACCACCACTACTACCACTACTACCACCATCCAGTCAATCCCAGAGGTACCACCACTACTACCACTACCACCACTACCACCACTACTACCACTACTACCACCATCCAGTCAATCCCAGAGGTACCACCACTACCACTACTACCATCACTACTACCACCATCCAGTCAATCCCAGAGGTACCACCACTACTACCACTACCACCACTACTACCACTACTACCACCATCCAGTCAATCCCAGAGGTACCACCACTACCACTACTACCATCACTACTACCACCATCCAGTCAATCCCAGAGGTACCACCACTACCACTACTACCATCACTACCACTACTACCACTACCACCACTACCACCACTACTACCACTACTACCACCACTACTACCACTACTACCACCATCCAGTCAATCCCAGAGGTACCACCACTACCACTACTACCATCACTACTACCACTACTACCACTACCACCACTACCATCACTACCACTACTACCACTACCACCACTACAACCACTACTACCACTACTACCACCATCCAGTAAATCCCAGAGGTACCATCACTACCATCACTACCACTACCACCACTACCACCACTACTACCACCATCCAGTCAATCCCAGAGGTACCACCACTACCACTACTACCATCACTACTACCACCATCCAGTCAATCCCAGAGGTACCACCACTACCATCACTACCACTACTACCACCACTACCATCACTACTACCACTACCACCACTACCATCACTACCACTACTACCACTACCACCACTACCACCACTACTACCACTACTACCACCATCCAGTCAATCCCAGAGGTACCATCACTACCATCACTACCACCACTACAACCACTACTACCACTACTACCATCCAGTCAATACCAGAGGTACTACCACTACCACCACTACTACAACTACTACTACCACTACAACCACTACTACTACTACCACTACTACCACTACTACCATCCAGTCAATCCCAGAGGTACCATCACTACCACTACTACTACTACCATCACTACCACTACTACCATCGCTACCATCACTACCACTGCTACTACTACCACTACTACAACTACTACTACTACCACTACTACCATCACTACCACTACCACCACTACCACCACTACTACCACTACTACCATCCAGTCAATCCCAGAGGTACCATCACTACCACTACCACCACTACTACTACAACTACTACAACTAATACTACCATCACTACCACCACCACTACTACCACTACTACAACTACTACTACCACCATCCAGTCAATTCCAGAGGTACCATCACCACCACTACCACCACTACCACCACTACCATCACTACCACCACTACCACCACTACCATCACTACCACCACTACCACCACTACCATCACTACCACCACTACCACCACTACTATCACTACTACCACTACCACCATCCAGTCAATCCCAGAGGTACTACCACTACCATCACTACCACTACTACAACTACTACTACTACCACTACAACCACTACTATCACTACTACCACTACTACCACCATCCAGTCAATCCCAGAGGTACCACCACTACCACTACCATCACTACTACTACAACTACTACAACTAATACTACCATCACTACCACCACCACTACTACCACTACTACAACCACTACTACCACTACCACCATCCAGTCAATGCCAGAGGTACCACCACTAACATCACTACCATCACTACTACTACTACCATCACTACCATCACTACTACTACTACCATCACTACCACTACTACAACTACTATTACTACTACCACCATCCAGTCAATTCCAGAGGTACCACCACTACCATCACTACCACTACTACCATCACTACCATCACGACTACCACCACTACTACCACTACTACCACCATCCAGTCAATCCCAGAGGTACCACCACTACCACCACTACCACTACCATCACCACTACCACCACTACTACTACTACCACTACCACCACTACCATCATCACTACCACTACTACTACCACTACTGCCACCATCCAGTCAATCCCAGAGGTACCACCACTACCACCACTAACATCACTACCATCACTACCACCACTACTACCACTACCATCACCACTACCACTGCTACCATCACCACCATCACGACTACCACTACCACCACTACCACCACTACCACTACCACCACTACTACCACTACTACAACTACTACTACCACTATCACCACCATCCTGTCAATCCCAGAGGTACCACCACTACCATCACCACTGCCACCACTACTACCACTACTACCACCACTACCACTATCACCACTACCATCACTACCACTACTACCACTACTACAACTACCACTACTACCACCATCCAGTCAATCCCAGAGGTACCACCACTACCACTACTACCACTACCACCACTACCATCACTACCATCACCACTACTACTACCACTACCACCACTACCACCACTACCATCACTACTACTACTACAACTGCCACTACTACCATCACCACCATCACTACTACTACTACCACTACTACTACCACTTCTACCACCATCCAGTCATTCCCAGAGGTACCGCCACTACCACCATTACCATCACTACTACCACTACCACCACTACCATCACCACTACTACTACCACTACCACCACTACCACCACTACCATCACTACCACTACTACCACCACTACCACTATCACCACTACCACTACCACCGCTACCATCACCACCTTCACTACTTCCACCATCCAGTCAATCCCAGAGGTACCACCACTACCACCACTACCACCACTACTACCACTATTACTACTGCTACTACCACTACTGCCACTACTACTACCACCACTACCATCACTACTACTACAACAACTACTACTACCACTACCATCACTACTACTACTACTACCACTACTACCACTACTACAACTACTACTACCACTACTACCACCATCCAGCCAATCCCAGAGGTACCACCACTAACATTACTACTACCACTACCATCACTACTACCATTACCACCACTACCATCACTACTACCACTATTACATCACTACTACTACTACAACTACTACTACCACTACCATCACTACCACTACTACCATTCAGTCAATCCCAAAGGTACCACCACTACCACTACTACCACCACTACCACTACTACCACCACTACTACCACCAATACTACCACCATCCAGTCCATCCCAGAGGTACTAACACTACCACCACTACCACCACTACCACCACTACTACCACTACCATCACTACCATCACTACCATAAATATCACTACCACCACTACTACCACCATCCAGTCAATCCCAGAGGTACCACCACTACCACCACTACTACCACTACCACCACTACTACCACCACTACTACCACTACCACCACTACCATCACTACTACCACTACCACCACTACCACTACTACTACCACCACTACCACCACTACTACCACTACCACCACTACCATCACTACTACCACTACTACCATCACTACTACTACTACAACTACTACTACCACTATCATCACTACCACTTCTACCATTCAGTCAATCCCAGAGGTACCACCACCACTACTACAACCACTACTACCACTACCACCATCCAGTCAATCCCAGAGGTACCACCACTACCACCACTACTACTAATACTACCACTACTACTACTACCACTACTGCTACCACCACTACCACCGCTACTACCAGTACCACCACTACCACCACTACTACCACCACTACTACCACCATCCAGTCCATCCCAGAGGTACTACCACTACCATCACCACTACCACCACTACCATCACCACTACCACCACTACCATCACTACCACCACTGCAACCACTACTACCACTACTATAACTACTACTACAACTACCATCACTACCACTACCACCACCATCCAGTCAATCCCAGAGGTAGCTACACCACTAACACCACTAACACCACCACCACTAACACCACCACCACCACTAACACCACCACCACTAACACTACCATTACCACCACCACTACTACCACCACCACTACCACCATTCAGTCAATCCCAGTGGGTCTCTGAGTAGTCTGTGGGTGTCTATGAGTAGTCTGTGAGTGTCTATGAGTAGACTGTGGGTGTCTATGAGTAGTCTGTGGGTCTCTATGAGTAGTCTGTGAGTGTCTATGAGTAGTCTGTGGGTGTCTATGAGTAGTCTGTGGGTGTCTATGAGTAGTCTGTGGGTGTCTATGAGTAGTCTGTGAGTGTCTATGAGTAGTCTGTGAGTGTCTATGAGTAGTCTGTGGGTGTCTATGAGTAGTCTGTGAGTGTCTATGAGTAGTCTGTGAGTGTCTATGAGTAGTCTGTGGGTGTCTATGAGTAGTCTGTGGGTCTCTATAAGTGGTGTGTGGGTCTCTATGATTAGTCTGTGGGTGTCTATGAGTAGTCTGTGAGTGTCTATGAGTAGACTGTGGGTGTCTATGAGTAGTCTGTGGGTCTCTATGAGTAGTCTGTGAGTGTCTATGAGTAGTCTGTGGGTGTCTATGAGTAGTCTGTGGGTGTCTATGAGTAGTCTGTGGGTGTCTATGAGTAGTCTGTGGGTGTCTATGAGTAGTCTGTGAGTGTCTATGAGTAGTCTGTGAGTGTCTATGAGTAGTCTGTGGGTGTCTATGAGTAGTCTGTGAGTGTCTATGAGTAGTCTGTGAGTGTCTATGAGTAGTCTGTGGGTGTCTATGAGTAGTCTGTGGGTCTCTATGATTAGTCTGTGGGTGTCTATGAGTAGTCTGTGGGTGTCTATGAGTAGTCTGTGGGTGTCTATGATTATTCTGTGGGTGTCTATGAGTAGTCTGTGGGTGTCTATGAGTAGTCTGTGGGTGTCTATGAGTAGTCTGTGAGTGTCTATGAGTGGTGTGTGGGTGTCTATGAGTAGTCTGTGGGTGTCTATGAGTAGTCTGTGGGTGTCTATGAGTAGTCTGTGGGTGTCTATGAGTAGTCTGTGGGTCTCTATGATTAGTCTGTGGGTCTCTATGAGTATTCTGTGGGTGTCTATGATTAGTCTGTGGGTGTCTATCAGTAGTCTGTGGGTGTCTATGAGTGGGTGTCTATGAGTAGTCTGTGAGTGTCTATGATTAGTCTGTGGGTCTCTATGATTAGTCTGTGGGTCTCTATGAGTGGTCTGTGGGTGTCTATGAGTAGTCTGTGGGTGTCTATGAGTAGTCTGTGGGTGTCTATGAGTAGTCTGTGAGTGTCTATGAGTAGTCTGTGGGTGTCTATGATTAGTCTGTGGGTGTCTATGAGTAGTCTGTGGGTGTCTATGAGTAGTCTGTGGGTGTCTATGAGTAGTCTGTGAGTGTCTATGAGTAGTCTGTGAGTATCTATGAGTAGTCTGTGGGTGTCTATGAGTAGTCTGTGAGTGTCTATGAGTAGTCTGTGGGTGTCTATGAGTAGTCTGTGGGTGTCTATGAGTAGTCTGTGGGTGTCTATGAGTAGTCTGTGGGTGTCTATGAGTAGTCTGTGAGTGTCTATGATTAGTCTGTGGGTGTCTATGATTAGTCTGTGGGTGTCTATGAGTAGTCTGTGGGTGTCTATGATTAGTCTGTGAGTGTCTATGAGTAGTCTGTGGGTCTCTATGAGTAGTCTGTGGGTGTCTATGATTAGTCTGTGGGTGTCTATGAGTAGTCTGTGGGTGTCTATGATTAGTCTGTGAGTGTCTATGAGTAGTCTGTGGGTCTCTATGAGTAGTCTGTGGGTCTCTATGATTAGTCTGTGGGTGTCTATGAGTAGTCTGTGGGTGTCTATGAGTAGTCTGTGGGTCTCTATGAGTAGTGTGTGGGTGTCTATGATTAGTCTGTGGGTGTCTATGAGTAGTCTGTGGGTGTCTATGAGTAGTTTGTGGGTGTCTATGATTAGTCTGTGGGTGTCTATGAGTAGTCTGTGGGTGTCTATGAGTAGTCTGTGGGTGTCTATGAGTAGTCTGTGGGTCTCTATGATTAGTCTGTGGGTCTCTATGAGTAGTCTGTGGGTCTCTATGAGTAGTCTGTGGGTGTCTTTAAGTGGTGTGTGGGTCTCTATGAGTAGTCTGTGGGTGTCTATGAGTAGTCTGTGGGTGTCTATGAGTAGTCTGTGGGTGTCTATGAGTAGTCTGTGGGTCTCTATGAGTAGTCTGTGAGTGTCTATGAGTAGTCTGTGGGTCTCTATGAGTAGTCTATGGGTCTCTATGAGTGGTGTGTGGGTGTCTATGAGTATTCTGTGGGTCTCTATGAGTAGTCTGTGAGTGTCTATGAGTAGTCTGTGGGTGTCTATGAGTAGTCTGTGGGTGTCTATGAGTAGTCTATGGGTCTCTGTGAGTAGTCTGTGGGTCTCTATGAGTAGTCTTAGGGTCTCTATGATTAGTCTTAGGGTGTCTATGGGTCTCTATTGCAGCAGCTGAAATCTGGCCACGCTGTGAGATTGTCAAGGGCCGAGGTGATGAAGAAGATTGGACAACTCTTCTCTCTGAGGTGACCATCATCATCACCATCATCACTATCACTACCATCATCACCACCATCATCACCATCATCACCACCATCTTCACTATCATCATCATCACCACCATCATCATCACCATCATCACTATCACTACCATCATCACCACCATCATCACTATCACTACCATCATCACCACCATCATCATCACCATCATCACCATAATCACCATCACCACCACCATCACCACCATCACCACCATCACCACCACCATCACCACCATCACCACCATCACCCACCATCATCACCACCATCACCATCATCACCACCACCATCACCACCATCATCACCATCACCACCATCACCACCACCATCACTATCACCACCACCATCACCACCACCATCACCACCACCATCACCATCATCACCATCATCACCACCACCATCACCACCACCATCACCACCAACATCACCACCATCACCACCATCACCATCATCACCACCACCATCACCACCATCACCACCATCATCATCACCACCATCATCATCACCATCATCATCACCACCATCACCACCATCATCATCACCACGACCATCACCATCACCACCACCATCACCACCATCACCACCATCACCATCATCACCACCATCACCACCATCACCATCACCACCACCATCATCACCACCACCACCACCATCACCACCATCACCACCATCATCACCATCACCACACCATCACCACCATCACCACCATCATTATCACCATCACCATCACAGCCATCATCACCACCATCATCACCATCACCATCATCACCACCATCACCACCATCACCACCATCATCACCACCATCACCACCATCATCATCATCATCACCACCATCACCATCATCACCACCATCACAGCCATCATCACCATCATCACCACCATCACCACCATCATCATCACCACCATCACCATCATCACCACCATCACAGCCATCATCACCACCATCACCACCATCACCACCATCACCATCATCATCACCACCATCACCACCATCATCATCACCATCATCACCACCATCACCACCATCACCATCATCACCACCATCACCAGCATCACCATCATCATCACCACCATCACCACCATCACCACCATCATCATCACCATCATCACCACCATCACCACCATCATCATCACCACCATCATCATCATCGCCACCATCATCATCATCACCATCATCACCACCATCATCATCATCACCACCATCATCATCATCACCACCATCATCATCACCACCATCATCATCATCACCACCATCAACAACAACAACAACCGCCATTCGCCACTAAGTGGCGGTGACGTCACCACGACGCTTGTGCCAGGCTATGTGCACCTTGAGGCCACGTGAAGTGTCGAACGCCCGCTGGCAGGAGGTCACGGGGCAGACCCAGGTGCCACGGGTCGACTGACTGAGATGACTGGCTGATGCACCACCTGTGCCCCCTACTGTGCCAACCTGCTGTGCTTTAGCCACCCGGCGCTCCGCTCGTTGTTCTGAGCGTCGCTCCTCCGCCCTCCGTTGTTGTTGGAGGGCGACTGCCTCCAACTGCCCAGTAGCATCCTTCACGAGCCTCCTCCACAGAGGCCGATCTTGACACCGCTGGTACCAGTCATCGGCAAGTCCACTCAGCTCCACGTCCTCCTGTACCACATCACTCCATCCCTTCTCTAGCCCGTGCCGCGCCCGCTTAGCCCCCTCAATCCGGCCAAACAAAAGCTGTTTCGGCATGCGGTGGCTGGGCATGCGGGCTACATGACCCAGCCATCGCAGCCTTGCCTGCCGGAGGAGCTCACCGATGGGACCCTGCCCAGATCCTTCAAGGATTTGTGAGCTCCTCACACAATCCAGTCTGGTTAAACCCAGGATGGATCGTAGGCAGGCCAGCCTAAATGTTTCTAACCGGCGAAGATGTTCCATTAGGGGGGTCCACGTTTCGCAAGCGTAGAGAAGGGAGGGAATGACCGTGGCCGAGAAGACCTGAAGCTTAGTGCGGAGCGACAGACCAGGTAGCTTCCACACAGCGTTACGCAACCGATGAAAAGATATTGCCGCTCGACTGATTCGGAGTGAGACCTCTGCTGTTAAACTGGAGCCAGTCATAAGCACACTGCCCAGGTATGCGAAACTCTCTACTCTCTCCACAACTGCCCCATCACCGATTGGGAGTTGTGGGGGTGGAGTGTCCGATGGTACAAAATACCCAGGCAGGTGCTTAGTTTTGGTGGGGCTGATGGTAAGGCCCCACCTCTTAGTGGCACGCTCCAGTCTCAGCAGCAGCGTCTCCAACTCCTCCTCTGACTGAGCAGCTATTACCAAGTCATCAGCATACATAACGTGGTTGAGCAATAGGGAGCCATCCCTTGACCGCACCCGGGCATCGATTAGCCTCCCATTATATCTGTACCATATGGAGATTCCCCCGGTACAGCTATTGAAGGCTTCACGAACTACGTGGTCAAAATAGATGTTAAATAATGTGGGAGCCAGAGGACATCCCCGTCGCACCCCAAGGTGTACAGGGAATGGCTCTGACTCCCGGCCACGTAGTTTTACCCTGGCCCGCTCACCATCATGAAGGTCCTTAATGATCGTGAGCAGAGGGTCAGGTACTCCAAAAGCACGAAGAACGACCCAGAGCCCAGGCCTACTGATGGTATCATAGGCCTTGACCAGGTCAATAAAGCAGAGATGTAGGTCTTGTTGGAATTCCCTACACCTCTGCTGTAGCAGACGGACAGAAAATATGGCATCTGTGCAGGACCGCCCTTTCCTGAAACCGCATTGGGGCTCCGCAAGCCTCTCCTCAGCGTGCCTGGCAAGGCGATGCTGAATAATCCTTGCCAGGACCTTTCCCGGCACACTGAGGAGTGAGATGCCCCTGTAGTTGTTACAGTCTGTGCGGTCCCCCTTCTTAAAAAGGGGGACCACCAGGGCATCCTTCCAATCCTGCGGAACCCGTCCAGTGGTCCAGACTGTTGTTATGATGTCATATAGGGCAGTCTGTGCACAAACGCCACCCTCCCTCAGCATTTCGCTTGGGAGATTATCTCTGCCCGCTGCCTTTCCTGGTCTCAGACTCCGGATCGCCTTCAATACTTCCTCAGCAGATGGCACCTCAGCCAGCCACTCACAGGGGGTGACTTCATCCAATATTTGAGGCACCGCAGCCTCAGCAGGGTCATCCTCACTTTGTGCCACGATGTTTTCCTGGCTGAGGGATTTTCCCTCCCCCAGGACCTCACAGAAATGCTCAGCAAATCTGCGAACCTGTTCCTGGGGGTCGGAAATTGGATCACCGTTTTTTCCCCTAATGATGGTAATAGGTGTGGCGCTGCAGGTTACTTTTTTGATGGAGTTAAATAGAGATTTGTGATCACGGGCCACTGAGGCAGACTCCATCTCCTCAGCAACCCGCGACCACCACCCATCCTTGCAGCGCCTCACGGCTCTCCGAACCTCCGAGCGAAGGCTGCGGTAAGCCTCCTCATTCTCTGACGTGGGATTCTGTAGCCGATGGCAGTGGGCCTGTCGCTTTTTCTCAACCATCCTGAACAACTCCTCTGTCATCCAGGGTGTCTGGGGAGGTCTGGACCGCGTACCCAAAGCAGCCATTGCAGCTGCATGAGTCACAGTCCTAAACCTCGCCCATTTACCCTCGACATCAGGAGGAGTCGGGGACGATGCCAATCCCAGTCGCAAGCGATGATGAAATTCTCGCTTGCAACTTTCATCAGATAACTGAGACCAGGCCACTTTAGGTTGGAATGGGGTCCTGGGTGTACACCCACCACCGGAGTGGAAGAATGGCAGGCGCATCTTACAGATGACTAGTCGATGGTCAGAGGGCAGATCAGCTCCACGGTAGGTCCTGGTGTCAAGGACATGGGCTCGCATTCGCTGGTCCGTCACTATGTAGTCCAGCAGATGTTCTTGCTTGGACCCGGCATGCATCCATGATGTTGTGTGGATGCGCCGATGCCGGAACAGCGTGTTGGTAATTACAAGCCCATGGGCTGCACAAAAATCTAGCAGCCTCCTACCGTTGTTATTGAGCTGATCTGGCCCATGCCCTCCAATCACTCCAGACCAGGTGCCAGTATCATGACCAACTCGGGCATTGAAGTCACCCAACATGATGACTCTATCCCGAGGGGCCACTTTAGCCAGCACCTGTGACATCCCTCCACGGATGTTCATCTTCGGTGGGGGCATAAGTAACCACGACCACCATTCCTCGCCTCCGGTTGATGGGAAGGCGAGCCCAAAGTAGCCTGGGGCTTACAGCTTCCCACACCTCACCGCCACGCTCCCACGCCCCCTTCATTCTTTTGTTCAAAAGAAGACCCACACCCTGTTGTTTGGCAGTCTGCTGCCCCGAGTAGAGGACTGTCCACCCCTCATGGTGGCAGGAGCCAGAGCCGGTCCACCGGACCTCCTGAATGCCGCATAGATCCAGGCGGTACCGGTCCAGCTCCCGACAGAGGAGTGGCAGCCTCTCCTCTGCAGTGAGCGTTCGAACATTCCACGTGGCCACCCATAGTGGCTTTTCGTTGTTTCTGGAGTAGCCCCGAGGGTAGGTATTCAATCTCCTGGCTCCGCCAATTGGGGTTTGGCCAGGAGACGTCATAGACGCCTGGCCCCCCGGGGCCTCCGGCACAAGCTTATTAGTTACATATTTCAGTTTAATTCGTGGTTTCGTGGTAATTAATTGAAGGTGGAGGGGTTACCAGCCCCTCGCACCCGTCCAGAGCCCCCGTTTAGCCCCTGTGGTGGACACATATGCCATGAGGGGAGGAGCCAATCAAAATTGGATCTCCCCCCACAGCGCTGTCCACGACAGAGTTGCCCGTCCGGCACCGCGAGGAGGTAGGGGGTTGTTTTGCCGGACACCACCATCATCACCATCATCACCACCATCACCACCATCATCATCACCACCATCATCATCACCACCATCATCATCATCAGTACCTTCAGAGACGCATAGACTCACTACACACAGTTCTCCTGCTGCTGCTACTCCTACTGCTGCTACTCCTACTGCTACTACTGATACTTCTGCTATTGATACTTCTGCTACTGCTACTACTGCTGCTACTCCTACTGCTACTACTGCTACTACTACTACTGATACTTCTGCTACTACTACTGCTGCTACTACTGCTGCTACTACTGTTGCTACTACTACTGCTGCTACTACTGCTACTACTACTGCTGCTACTACTACTGCTACCATTGCTGCTACTACCACTGCTACTACTACTGCTGCTACTACTACTGCTACTACTG